AAATCTCACCTAGCTTTCCTCGGAGATGGTCCCAATAATGTGCTTAAAGTCAAGTCAAATTCAGTTTGTGCATGATTGCATGATATAACATTTTTGTTAATACTGTATCCTAAATTGTGGATAATTAAGCTATATATCATATGCTGAAGTACATTTATGGAGTGTTAAAGATTAAAAGAAAAAAATAACAACAAGAACCGTACAGAACCGAAAACCGTGACCCTAAAACCGTGATACAAACCAAACCGTGGGTTTTGTGAACCGTGCCACCCCTAGTACCATTACACCCCTATTATTAATAATCCAGCAGTGTTCATTTTCCGTCATATTTTTTGGTAAACAGAATGCTTTAAAATAATTTCATGTCAAGTGCACTTTTTTTGCAGATGTAAATTTTAATATTACGTCTATCTTGTGTAAATTTAACATTTAATTTAATATTCCACAATAATATTGATCTGCCTGTATTGACACCTTTATATGAGAACTGAACTGAGCTGGACGATGACATCACGGTTTTCTCCAGAGCGGAAAGCGTGCCGCACAAGCCCTGAAAAGTGAAGCCAAAACGTCTCGATCGCCCCCCGGTGGCTGGTCCTAGTATAGGTCATAAACACCGCCTCCCCATGTTTTTCAACGGCACGTGAGATCAACTAAACAATTAAATTACACTTCAAATATCGTTTTTCCAAAGATGGTTTCTGTCATTTACTGTAGTTTTTATCACGCTGATGTAATTTCAAGTGTTTGTTTTTAAAATAAGTTTGTTTTTAGTTAGTTATTTGATGCGGTGGTGTGACGTCATGATTGACAAGCTGTGATTGACAGGTTCTCTGAGCGAAGTAGTCACTGAAGCACCAATCACCATGCAAAGGATCTTTTTTTCGGGATCTTCGGAGGACTGAGGAGATTGGAGCTTTAAATTTAATATCTAAATTTCTATAATTAATTTATAATAAGTGCAGGAGCGTGTGCTTGCGATTGATTCTGCGAGAGTGAGAGCGGGGCCTTGATTTCGCGGCTTTACTTCCTGCTCGCTACTGCGCATGTCTGGTCCCGAAATCGCTACTGTGCAGACTCAAGTTCCAAGATGTCAGCGCCATATCGGGATACTGGCGGCTTCACTTCTGACCAATGGAAGAGAGCGAAGGGGCGTCGTCCATCTTTTTTTACAGTCTATGGTCTATATATATAATTTAACTAAATTAATAACGTTTTTACAACAAAAATGAAACATCACCCCCCCCCCCCCATTCCTTATATGTTTGTGATGTTCTTACATGCTTTTACATGAACATTTGACTTGTTTAAAGGCGTAAGTGATTTTTGAAAAACGCTGTTGAAAAGTGGATCGGATCGGTCACCAAAACATACTTGTAGCCAATCAGCAGTAAGGGTCATATACACTCATAATGGGGGAGGAGAGAGAGCTCAGTGCACAAGACAGAACGACTATAGAAAGAGAGATATGGCAGAGAAAATACCCAAAAGGGTTACGTTTAGGCGACGCGCGTTGGCGACCGGATGGGGCGTGTCTGGCGACGCGACAAAGTTGAGATCTGTTTAACTTTATGCAAATGAAGAGCGACTTTCGGGAGCGACAACCAATAGGAGTGAGGTCAGTGGAGCGCATGTGATCCGTCACTCTTCAGTGCTGAGTCTGATCGAGGCAAGTTGAACGAGAAGCTCATTTTAGCAGTATAATTTATGATATATCTCCGTGTACATACAGTGGTATTCGGTGCCTGAATGGTTTTGGGAACCCAGATAGACCGGTATTTGCCCGTTTTCTGCAGTTAAATAGCCGCGATGGCAAAGAGCACTCACTGTTTCTCGTTCATCTTTAATATTATGCATTTTATGTACTGATTCCATTTATATTTAGACTTTTCCTTCCAAAATGTTTGTTTGTAGCGGCAAGAAAACGTATTTGTTGTCTAACATAGAGTAACATCCGTGAATGTCACTCACAAACATTACTAGGCAACCAGTAGTGGGAACGCCCTCCAGCGCAGCCACTGGCGACCTGCAGCAACAAAGTCGCTTGTAGTGTGAACGCAGCTTTAGAGAGCTGTTCGTGAAAATTTTGTTTGTTTTTTGGGATGCAATGCATGACTTTGCTATCAAAGGAGTAGAGAAGCTAAATAACAATTAGACATTCAACCTGAATTATCATAATAACACAAATTACTTTCACTTATGGATGACATCATACTCTTGGGTGGCAGGCACAGCAGATTCCGCCTTAGATGTTGACTGTGTTGCATAGCGTGTACGTGAATGTGGGGGCGGAGGCAGGGCGGAGGCATCAAGACTAGGGTTGGGTACCGAAACTCGGTGCCAATAGGGAACCGGTTCCGACGTAAACGGTAGTAACCAGACCGAATAAGAACGACAATTTCGGTGCCTGATTTCGGTGCCTGACTTAATTAGGCACACACGCACACACACACGCACAGTCTCTTCTGTCTCGCATGCGCGCTCTTGCTCGCAAGGTTTGGCTGCATTTCACGTGTAAAATTACGCGTCAAAACGCCCTCTGGGTGTGCCGATAGTCTGAATCCCAAGCCAATTCATTGGCTAATGGCGCGGGCGCCGCCTCGACGCACTTACGTCGTCATATTATGTTGGCGCGCGCGCGCCATCTGCTCCTCAGATTTCTCGAGTAGTATGAAGCTGCAGACTCGGAGACCTGCATCTACAGTCCCCCTGCACCCAGAGTCCCGCATTCTCAGACCCCTCGTTTTTCGAGACTGCGCCTCCTATCAAATTGTATCGGATAAACATGTGAAGAACATGTGAAGAACTTAAGCCAAAACGTTAGTAGGCTATCTTCAATTTTATTTAGCGAATCGTAGTAGCCTACTCGTTTGATTTATTTTTTAATAAAACTCATTTAGCTCATCGATACAACATATGAATAGTCCATTTAATATTTGTAAAGATAGTTTGTAACAAGATTTGAGCCGTTAATGTATGTTTTTTCGCCCTCTTCCTCCCGAAAATGTTTTGATAGCTAACGTTAGCCTTTAACCTTGGACTCTTTGTAGATATGTCATAAATGCTGCAGTGATTTTCACTGCCCATTTTGTGCCCCCATATATTTCAAACCCACAAAGTTGTCCAAAGTTCAAAAACATCTCAAGGGACACTTCAACAGACCAGTGCAACATGAAGGTAACATTTGCAAACATCTTTTTTCTTTTTTTTTTTCTTTCTTTTTGAAACATCATAAGACATGTGCTATCGGGCCTATACTGTTGTAGGCTATTCCAGGGTACACCATACATCGATGGAGTCGCCCCTGCCGAACCCAGCAACATATCATTTTATGATTATGCAAAACGACTTATACTTTTTTTAATGCAATTGAAGACGAAAAGTAAAGTCACGAACACAGTTTTTTCTTCCTTTTTTCTTTACAGCAAGATGATGTTTAGGTGATCATTAAATAAAGTACAGAATTGTTTATTATTGGTGTTTTGTCTATTCTGATTTGTTTTGCTTCGCATTAAAAATATCAAAAAACTGATTTTGTAATGTTAGCATGGTAATGTTAATTAGACCATTATAGGTTGAACTGAAAGAAAAATTGGAATTTGAATAAAAAGAATATAAAAAAACATTGTAGCAATATAATATATCACATACTATTTTTCAGAAGATAGTTCAATCTGTAATTGTATCCCTTCCATCGCAATGAGTTTTTTTGGGCACATGCATTAAGCAGGGAACGCAAATATTTATTGGATCATTTATTTGGAGACCGTAATATTGCATTCTATTGTTTTTAATTGCATTTGGATAGGCGTGCGCTGTACTCTGTGTTCGGGTGTTATACGATCTTTCGAACAGCAGGAGGCGCTGTGTTCGAAAAACGAGGGGTCTGAGAATGCGGGACTCTCGGTGGGGGACTGTAGATGCAGGCTCCGAGTCTGCAGCTTCATAATATTGGATTTCTCTGCCGAAAAAGGAATCTGGTCGGCAGCGCGAGGAGCTTGGCAGCGTCTCGTTCCCTATTGAGAGAACATAGGTTACACCAGTAACCAGAGATGTTCTCTTTCATAGGTTCACTCAACGCTGCATAGCTAAGAAGCAATGGATTTGTATTTGAAGGCTGCTGTATCACGTGCCGTTTGAACTGACGCGCTACAGCGATCTGTCACATTTCAAAGAGCCAAAACGTTATTTATTGTGTGAATCTCGTAAAAATATTGACAGTATCTGACAGCTGTGGATTTGTTCCATATCAAAAGTAACCTTCTGGCTTGTCTGTCGGTGTCCTCTTTGTCCGCGATTTTTCTTTGCGTGAGAAAATGGATGTGTGAGAGTGTGTGAAAAGGGTCAATTGCGTGAGTCTCACGGTCAATACGTGAGAGTTGGCAGCTCTGCTAGTAATCTCTATTAATCTCCAGTATTATTACATTGTTTGTAATTTTTTTTTTATATTGGTTTTATTATTACCATGTTACTTGTATTTATATTGTTTAAAGATTTAAGTTAATATTGTATCCAGTTTTGCCCTGTAAATAAAAGGGTATTATTTTTTAAGTGTGTGCGGTTTCATTTTCTTAAGTACCGTTTCAAGAACCGTTTAAGCACCGGAACCGTTTAAAAAATACCGAGTAGGTACTGGTATCGGATAAAACCCAACCGATACCCAACCCTAATCAAGACAGAGGTGTGATCCTTTTAGGTAGGGGCGTGTTTTGTTTTGTTTTACCAGGAATCGCTTACTGTACCTTTAGGGCTGTTTATTAAAGCCTGCACTAGGGAAACTTTTACCTGTCATGGTACATGTTAATGTTATAATTTTTTTATGTTAATGCAGACACAAACTGCATATTGCTGCTGATTTTATTTGTTGGTTTAATATAATACTTCTTAAAATGATTTTAATGTGTTTATAATACTTTCTGAATATTTCCAGCACACATTTCCAACATATTTTCATACCACTTTATCTCTAGTTAGATATGCGATCATATACAGGATATTACCTTCAGGAGGAAGTGTGTAGCGAGCATACTCTGGAAAATAATCTTCAAGTTTGGATTTTCCTGCCAGGATCTTTTCTGCCAGCATGTCCTGTTTGTTGAGGAACAAGATCACTGAAATGGTCCTTAAAAACCTGTTTGAAAACACACAGAGTGAGACGGTTTGAGCATGTCTTTATATTTATATATCTGATGACAATTCTAGACGTTCAGCCGCAGCTTTGAGCCAGCATTTTACGTGATAAGCCTTTGTATTTAAAGTTGTCTTCTCTCTTTGACTTAAAAAATAAAATGTTAGGCATGGGTGCAATGACCAAAAAGATCCCTGTAGGAATTTTTACATCACAATAACTGTATAGTTATTTTTGCTGGAAAAATATAATATATATGTATGGTATATGTGGAATATTTATGTGGTAATCAAAGATTTGCATATATATATATATACCTAGTTCTGGCATGAAACTCTAGATGGCACAGGCTGATTAGGTCCTTAAATCATTTGGTAGCGATCACATTATTATCTAAATAGTGCAGCTGATTGGTTGCTGTTGCATCAGCCAGTTTTCAAATACTGGTAGCAATGCTGTTAGCAGTCTGCAACACGCTTATAGAAAGCATCTGAAATCAACAACTAAGAAAAGTGAACACTCTTTTTGTCTCAGTTGTGTTTTGTTTAGTTTGTTTTCATTGGACATGTCTGCCTGTCATCACATGTCACGTGTCATCTTCATTGTCATTTTCAGTTCATCTGTATCACCTGTGTTCAGTTAATCATCGTCATCTGTGTTTGCATTTAAGTTCCGTCTGTTCAGTCAATCTTTGTCTGATCTATGATGTATATATATTGTGTGTTGCTGCCTGTCTGTTATCCTTTATATTATTACCATTAAACCTTCGTGTTGGAAATTTATCCTCAACTTCTTCTGCCTTCCTGCAACCACACATGACACTTTTACTCCATATCCCTGTGCATACTCTATATCCCACCCATATTGTGTGGTTTGCTTATTAAATGAGCAATCATAATGTTTAATCTAGTGTTATGTTTAACAGTCTGTGGAGTAATTTACAAAGCATATTAGCTGCTGCGTTTATGCAATTGACCTGTCGGTAAGCCCCACCCCCTTAGTTACTGTTGCTAACTCGGACAAACAAACGGAGTTAAAACCTTGTCCCAAGATGTTTTTGATCAATTTTGGACACAGAGGGACCACCTCTCGTCGAGGAGTACTCAAGTGGGACTTAAATATGCCATATATTTATAAAGATATATAATATATAAAGGATTTTAAAATAAATATGGTGGGTAACAAGATTAATTTGGAAGCGAGGGTTTACAGATCAAAATGCAAGCGGGAGACGCCTAATGTTACGGTCATCACGATTGCAGGTGACAACATCCAGGATCAACATCATTATCTACATGATAATGATGAGCAGCCAATGAGCTGTGGCCAATGAGCTGCGGCTCAACATTCAAATATTGGTTGTGATGCTGTTAGTAGTCTGCAGCACGCTTCCAGAAACCCTCCACCTGTATAGATCTGCTACGGGGGATTAATTCATGTGTGTTACATGTGCAGCAGCAGCAGTAGTGTCACGATCACCCGCTGGAGTGCCCTTGAGAGCCACCAGGGGGCACTCCATCACGGACTAGTGTTCATTGCCATTCCATCAAAGACTACATCCCCCATAATTCTATGATCCGTTTCATCCTCACTGATTGTCTACAGCTGTTACTTATTAGCTCTGTCTATAAAAGCCTGGTTCATTCTGTCATTTATTGCAAGGTTTTAGCTAGTGTTACATTGCATTTCTGAGAGTTATTATTTGGATTGTTGGCCTGTTTTGACCCATTGCCTGCTGTTTTGATTATGATTCTGTCACTCTGTCATTTATTGCGAGGTTTTGCCTAGTGTTACACTGCATCTCTGAGCGTTATTCATGATTTCATGTACCTTGGTTTTTGGGTTCTCTGCCTGTCTATTGGATTACCCTTTTTGTCTGTTTCTTGCCTTGCTGTTTATTTGGATTGTTGCCTGTGTTTTGACCCATTGCCTGCTGTTTTGAGTGTTTCTGGACTGTCCTAATAAATGCTGCACTTGGATTTTCACTCTCAAGTCTCGGAACAGTTTGTAAAAAGCAGCATGTCTTACAAATCCATTACCATGCCAATCTTTATTACCATGCCTATCTGCTGAAAGTTGTCATAACAGGTGTGTATATATATCTATATATATATATATACACACTGTGAATATTCAGCACACCATCCAGCCCTATTGCTGACCTCTAATAAAAATAATCGGTAACTGTTACAAACATATAGATGCACTTCAGGATAACTTCTGCAGCACTTGGGACGGGAACTGAGAACTCCCAAGAAACAGCAGAACTGTGAAACCTGTTAGTCCAGATGCTGCGGAACAGATCAAGAGATTCGCGCAACCGGTTGGTGCTGTTGTCTTCCCTTATGACCATGTTATAACTGCTACTGGCTGCCACGAAGATGATGGCGGTCACATCTGTGAATATAGAAAGGAAGAAATATATAATAGCCAAGCACACACTTAAAGTGATAATTCACCCAAAAATTGTACTTCTGTCACCATCTACTCTCCCTCATATCGTTCCGATAAGACTTTGGTTAATCTTCGAAACATACAATTTTTATATTTTTAATGAAAAAGTTTCTGTCCCTCTATTGAAAGTGCAGGTAACCAAATTTTAAAAGATCCAAAAATGTTTTAAAGGCGTTGTCAAAGGTATCCATATGAGTTGAGCAGTTTAATCTTCAAATATTGTGAAGAGATACGATAACTTTATACGCTAGACATCATTTAGACACACATACATATATATAGTAAACACGGAAGCGCTAGAACAAACCTCATTGGTTCTTGTGTGTGCATGATGCAAAAAAAACAACAATAAGGTTTGTTTAAGTGCATGATGCATGCACAACTCACAGACAAGCTTACATGTAAATATCTGTGTGAATGTGTCAATCATTGTTTCGATGTAAATAAAATTCTAAATTAAATCTGTTCATCATATAAAGCTATTTCATCTCTTCACAAGACAATGATTAAACCACTGGATTCATATCGATTTGTTTTATAATACTGTAATGACCTTTTTTGATCTTCTAAGTTTTGCTTACCTGAACTTTGAATGGTATAGAAGCCTCTCAGGTTTCAATAAAAATATATTAATTTGTGTTTAACCAAAAGTCTTATAGGTTTGGTAAGACATGAGGGTGAGTAAATGATGAGAGAATGTAAATATTTGGGGAACTATCCTTTTAACATAAATACCAGTAGTCACTTTTAGATATATTAACTATAAAAACAGGTTTCAGGAATTTATTTACGGAAAAAAACACAAAGAATTTTACATTTTTACCACAAAGCTTGAGGAATATACAAGCTCACCATTAAAGCACTGAATCCATTTCCTCCTTTCATCTCTCTGACCACCCACATCAAACATACTGACACACAAGGAGAAAGAAATAAGAAATGTTTCTGTATATCAACTGAAAAAAAAAAAAGTAATTACAATGTAGTGATTGCATGCAGTTCTGAATCATTAGATTTTAAAATAGCAAAAACAAGATTGGTGGTTAAAAAGGTTTTGAACACACAAGTTTTAATACAATTTTAGTAAAATAGTGAGGTCCAAAGGTCTGTGATCACTAGTTTAAATGCTTCAGTTCCTCTCTAATGGACTTTCACTTCTGAATTTTGTCTTTGCCAACTCAGTCACATTCAGCACTGTCAGGGTTCTGTCACTTCGGTCTGGTTTACTCTTGCTTTGGTGACAGAGCTCTGACACTCCGTCTTGTCTTTGTGTGAGCATGCGGTTTTGAGTTCGCTCGGGCCGTACACTCTTTCATCTACGTGAAATGTTGAATGTGTGGAACATGGTGTTCAGATACGGGCACTTCGGTCTAGTCTGGTTTAGGTTTAGTGTCAGGGTTCCGACATTCATTCCCCATGGCTGTATTCGAAATCACATACTTCCCCCTACTATATAGTAGGCAAAAAACAGAATCAGACAAAAGAAGAATGTCTGAATTCACAGTACTCAAAAAAAGCAGGCAAAGAGTACCCGGATGGCCTACTTCTTCCGGAGAGATTGTGAAGATTGAGATTTACTATGAGGCCACGGGAAAAGATTTGTTAATGGCAGTGACGCGACGCAACTGATGCTGGTAGGTCATGTGATAAAGCCAACATGGCGAATGTACAACGTCCAAAATACATTCTACACACATTCATATTATATAGAACATACTTTTTCAGCTGTCGTGAAGTAATTACTTATTCAAAATAGTACAAAAATGTACAGAGGTTGAGTGTACATTCACTCACCGTGCACTCTTGTCTTGTATGTTTTGTTGAGCACCTGGTTTCTGTTTTCATTGTGTTCTGTGTAGCATTCGGCTCATGTTTATCATCAGCCTCGTGCTTTCATTTTGTCACCTTTTGTGTAGCATGCAGCTCATGCTCAACAATGGCAGCATGCTTTTGTGTTATTTTGTTCTGTGTAGCATACGGCTCGTGTTTTTCATCAGCCACATGCTTTCATGTTGTCATGTATTGTATGGACTAGTGACAGCTCTTTGGCTACGTTCAGACTGTCAGTCCAAATCAGATTATTTGTGTATATGTAACAAGGTTAGATGTTATGGGAAGAAGGAGGTGGGAATCGGCGAACAATCTTAATTTTACAATTTTAATAAATAAATAAATACAAAAACGAAAGTAAAGATGGCAGTCCTTCACGGTCGACTGCCGCCATACATAATAAAACAAAACATCAAATAAAATCCAGGCCTGGCCTCTCTCATCCTTCACCGTCGTTGCGAGACCGGTGCGTCGTGCAGGTGTCGCTCATTAGTAATCACGCCACCGGCCTCGCGCCAGAAGGGGAGAATTTACAACATGAATTATGTTGTAATTAAGACAACATCTGTATTGCAAACCCCTCTAGCCTCGCACTGGACAACTGCGTCTTGAGGCAGACGCAGAAACGCAGGAGGCTGGTATGCGTGGCTTTATTCTGAGCTGCTGACATCTCCGCCGGTTTCAAAACATGTCTCCATTATATTGTCATTTCCAGCTCGTCCGGCATTTTGCAACAACACACCTTGTTTCTTCCATGTCGACTTTCACCATGTTTCATATAACAATGTCTGAAGTTTATGTTTTACGTGGCGTGAGAAAGTCATAAACCTTGCGAAATCCAATCAGAGCAGTCAGATAATTGTAGCTTTTTATGTGATTATCTGGCGTTCACTCTTGCCAAATCTGATCGGATTTTAATCGGATGTGCAAAAAAGTCAGATTTGGACTGACAGTCTGAACGATGTTTTTTATGTGGCTTTATTTTGATTGTTTCTATGTGCCATGTGCTCCGCTGTCTATTGTCTAAACCCCACCCTTCTTGTTACCTAATTATTGGTTCATTTGCCCCTCCCGCTCTCCCTCATTACTCTGCCTATTTCCTCTCCCTGTGCCAATTCGTTGTCATACACTCCTTATGTGCTGTTTTCTCTAGACTTGTTGTGTCCTGCACCCAGGTTGCCTGGTCTGATGAATCGTGTTTTCTTTTAGATCAATTGGATGGCTGCATTGTAAATTGTTTATGTGGGGAAGAGATGGCAGCAGGACACACTATGGGAAGAAGGCAGACTCTGGGCAATATTCTGCTTATGTTCTGTTTAAATTAGTTTAAAGTTACTGTTAGATTTAATGTTATTACCTTGACAAATTATAAATCATTAAAAAGATATAAGACTCAAGCTTCAGTATTTGACCTCTATTTTATTCTGAGAAACCTATATAATTGACAGTTATGTCTTAATTTGTGTCAGGAGTTATGAAAATGAAAAAAATAGTCGATACCTTTAATATGAATTATGAATGTCAGCAGCATCCATTGAGGAAAAAAACTCCTGTATGGTCGTCATGGAAATGCTTGACAAAACAACGTCCCTCAGGGCTTTTAGCTCAAAATTGTGTAGATTTGGAGAAATATTGATAGATTCTCAAATGCTTACGTCAGATTTTTATAGAGAGAAATAATATTTAGTAATTTTTTTACCCAAAATGCGCTGATGTAATCATTATGAGCGCTGGATACTCTGATTTACTGTGTTTTCAATTCATACTGGCAGCCTGAGGGCGCTCTATGCTCATTTAGTCCACAAATGGAACTCGTGATGAACAGGCATATCATGTGACATTCCAGGAACTCCTTTACATAAACAAGGCTTCCAGAGATCGCTGTAATATGCAGATAGAGACTTTTTGTAGACAATAAACACAAAAGATTGCGACAATGTATTTTAGTTTTACCTGTGGTTACCTCTAGGTTTCCCTGTGTTCTTCCTGCCATGTTGGCTATTTTCATAACAATAGTGTATATTTATAAAACAATGCTAATCGACATAGCCTTTATCAATGTGCAGAATTATAAAATAACATTTTCTGTCTGATTTTTTTATTCGAGGCCACAACATTGCCCTGTGGTGAAAATCCAGCTTTTAATTTTGTTTATATGTCTATGTTTTTTTTTTAATATGCTTTAAGACTGACAAACCATGTGCAAATTCATAAGTCAACACCATTGCTGAGTATTTTCTCCTTAAAACCATACTATGAAGCCAGATCAGCCTAAAAAATAATACATTTACAAAACAAAATTCATAAATGCACAGCACAATTAACATTTACAATTTCGGATTCGTAAATTCAAAACACAATTCATAAATACACAAGTAAAAGCATAAATATTTCCCCAAATCCTCACACAAATGCATCTTACCTGAATACATTTAAAATGTTTACACAAATAAAGTTCTTGAATTAATTTCCATCACACATTTATGAATGATGTTACATGTATTTATGGATCGTTGAATCTGCATTTGGAAATTGTCACACGTGCGTGGGCTGCTTTGAATATGTGTGCAGTATTTTTGAGACCTTCCTGGCAGGTTAAGATTCATAAATATCTTTTTTTTGGAGGATGTTCTGTTTAGCCAATCGCGAGCTTTAAGCTTTAAATCCACCAATCAAAACGCTCCTTACTGAACAGACTCAAGAATCTCAACCAGAGGGAGGTGAGAGGTGCATGTATCTCTTACCATTGGAGAAAGCGTAACGGCTTGAAAGTGACAGCTTTATGAAATTATTCAGTGCAGGAGAGAGTAACAGCATGTGTACTTTAAAAGCATAACATGAACTGTAATTTTTTTTTCTAAAGGTATGAAACAAATGAGGATTCAGTCACTGCAGGATAAACGATTTAAAGTACGATGTAATTGTTTCCCCTCACACATATAGTGATAATAAAATGAGCTTTTGATAGGCATTGTCAATCGGAGGTGGAATCAGCTGCAAGAGCTGTCGTAGAAGTTTTAGCCAGGGACATGTCTTTTTTTGCGCCCTGCAGTGACTAGTACTTTGTAGCTAATAGAGATGTTCACGCTTTTTCCGCAGTAAAGCACATTCCACAAACAATGCAGTCCTACTGTACCTTTACTAGCGATATAACACCAAATATAGACTAACGTGTTAATAATCCAAAAGAAACTGATTAACGTAAGCTTTTAACTGCGTTCCTTCAGCGAAGGCCTATTTGCCTTCAGTGAATCATTAATTGTTAATTCCAATGGTCACCAGGCGTAGCCTGTCATCACAAGTGCTTGACAAACACTACTCAATCACTGATTATTTAATCAATTAGACAAGATTTAAATGTATTCAAATGTATAATTTTCTTCCAATATTAAAGGTGCTCTATGTAACTTTTCTACTAAAATGAATCCTTTTTTTATTGCCTGTGTGTGAAGGGGTTGTAATCACACATTAAAATGATCCACTTGTCGAGTTTTGCTATTACCTCTGAAGGCCAGTATTCCTATTTCTATGTGAAGTCTCCGGGTCGGATTTACCGCGAAATCCAACGGATGTGACGTGCATGCGCGCTCCCGAGCCTCTCTCCTTATATACAGTCTATTGTAGACGGTCAGGGAGTTACGTCCGGTTAAAGGCGCACGTTTTTCGGCTTATATCTCAGTCAATCTTTGATCAATATTCCCAAGACTCTAATCGTTCGTAGTGCTGGACGGGGCCTTTCGAACGAGCCCACCCCCGAGGTCCAACTCGCCCGGCTCCCCGAGTTATAGCCGTTCGAAATCGGGGGTCCCAGTGAACGGCGATCCGGTAGGGGGCATCCCCGAGTCCCGCCACTCTAGCATTCGGGCAAGGAAACCCCTGGGACCTCCTCCCCCGAATTTGAGCTCTCTGGGTCTTTGCGTTCCAGAGATACGAGCGATTTTCTTCTGAGATCGTGACGTCACCGGCGTCCGCAATTTTGCAGCGCGCCCGATGGTTTTCTGCTAATATCTCCGCGAAAAAACCACCAAAAACTATGGAACTTATATGGTTCTTTTCAGCTCGACTAGATGGTCCCAACGAG